GAAGGGAGTTGGAGGAGATGGAGTAAGGGATGCATTTGACCAAATGCTGAACATGTATGAAATTCTCAAAGAATAAATAAAAATATATTTTAAAAAGAGTTGGTTAAGAGTATAGTTTCAGGATCCTTGAGAACCTATGATCACTGAGAGGTGACTTCAGACCAAAAATCCAAGCCCAAGCTGAAGAACCTGGCTGGCAACACAGAACATTTCTCAGACACAAGGCAAATCAGTCAATCATTCAATCATCAGTCAATCACTTTCTGTGCCTGGTCAAGTTCAGGAAAAGATTGTAAGATCTGGTTGTCCAAGTGATCAGGAAATATAGCTGCCTTAAGGGACTGTGTAACCAGGTGAAACCGTTGTTGCCTTTGATAAGAGAAGAAAGTCCCTGGCACTTGCTTTCAAGGCTTCATGCCCTCATACTCTAGGACAGCTGCCTAGAAGTCCCCAAGGCTCCTTCCTGCTTTTCTTGGCTCCTGCCAATTGTCCACAGTGCACTGTTCTTCCCATGGACATTTTCACATGTGCCTTGTTCTCAGAGTTCTTCGAGCAAGTGTATCCAGCAAGGCTATGCCTATTCCTTGGATTTCTGGGAATGATGAGGGCTGTAGAGAGGGGCAGCTCCACGGTGCAGGACACGAATCTGGCTTGAGTTGTCAGCTTTACTTAGATTTCTGAGCGGACCCCTGGCCCATTCTTCTTAGACTCAGTTTCTGCAATAAATGAGACACAGAGCTAATGTGGAAAAACTTAAAAGGATGAGGTTCAGTATGGATGTGTGAGAAGGAAAAGCCAGTAGAGCAGATGAAAGAGAGTGCTCCAGAGGGCGGGAGGAGATTTGGTTCAGTTCAGTGGGGTCAGTACTTGGTCCATTCTACAGTTCGTTACCCGTATTTCCAGGTGTAGAGAAAATTCACTTCCAGTAACATGGCTGGAGGAGACTTATAAAGATATAATCTTATTTATTTATTTGTGTGTGTGTGAGTGAGTGAGTGTGTGTGTGTGTGTGTGTGTGTGTGTGTGTGTGTGTGTGTGTGTGTGTGTGCTGTGCTCTCACACACATTCTTGGGTACAGTAGCTCACATGTGCAAGCCACAATGTCATGTGGAGGTCAAAGAACAATTTTCAAAAGTCAGTTCTCTCCTTCTACCAATGTGGGTTCTTAGGATCAAACTCAGTACCTTTATCCACTGAGCCATCTTGCTGGTCCCAAGGCTATAATTTTAATATAGTTAGATAAGACCTACAATAGTTTTATGTATGGAATATTATAGGGCAACATGTTTATTATGCTTAGGAAGAAGCAGGTAAGAATTTCTGAAGGTGGTTATAAATCTTTAGGAGTAAGTATAAGAAAATATTCTAGAAAGTCTGGAGGGGGTGATCCCAAGAATACCCACTAAATCTATCAGAGCACAGCACAGGAGTATGGGGTATGAAGATGCATTTGTCATTGAGTATGGGATACTGTTGCAGGTGAGGTTGGTGAGGCCGATAGACTCAAATATAGAAGACTACCATGAAAGTTCCACAGATGCAGACAGAGGGCATTATAGGGGAAGTGGAGAGGTTGGTTTCCTATCTGCCTATGTCTCCTGAGCACTTCTGTGCAGGATGTGTTTAGGGATAGGATGGAGTTAATGGAGCTTGAGGGCTTTTCTGTCACTCCATCAGTTCTTAGGGCAACACCCCTGTAGGATCTTCTTGCATAGAAGGGCTCCAGCCCTATGGAACTGTTAATAAGAACAATGATAACACCCAAGTTAAGGCTGGGGATGCCAACATCTGGAGAGAGTCACAGGACTCTGGAGGGCATGTTAGATTATTTGCCTCAATCCAGAGTCTATCTCTTCATTTTTTTTTTTAACTTCCTTGAAGCACATGGAGGATTAGATTAACATAAACCAGGTCTGCAGGATTGGTTTATAAAAGTGCCAGACCAACTTCTGATGAGAAATACTCATCAAGGGGTTTCTGTGTTCTTCTGTTATCTGGTTGTAGAAGGGGACTATGTAATAGTCCTTGGGAGATAGAAACATGGAGATTTTTATGCTCATAAATTTATTGGCAAAGGCATGGATAGAGGATGTTTTTTAAAACAAAACAAAACAAAACAAAAACAAAACATAGCCTTTATTTACCTCCCTCCTTGTCCCTAAAGAGTCCCCCTTTTCCATTTCTCCTGACCAGATCACTTGTATCCTGTTTCTCTCTCCACTGCTTCCCAACCCCCTATCCTGGCAACGGTCCCCCAAACTGATAGAGTCTTGAAGCCTGCCTCTCTTACCTTGATCTTCGCAGTGTTCCAGTTAATTCTGAGGATTTTCTGATGGCCAGAGTACATTTCCACATCATGTGTTGTCTTAAACACAGGAGGGCTCCTCACTGGGTCCAGTAATCACAAAGTGCTGTGGAATGCAGATGGTTTGCCCCCGGGATGTTTTCTCTGTTAGTGTGGCAGTCTTTTCAGCTCCCTTCTAGGTCTCCTTCAAGTGAGAGACAGATAAGACTCTACCATTTCTATCACTCTCACTTGGGGCCTTTCCATGATTCATTCCATACTAGGTCCCAACGATTGCTCTAAGCAAATTATATACAGCAGGGAGCTAGCAAAGCCAAATAAATATAGAAACAAAGAAAAGGAATCTGAAGCAGGAACTTTATGAATTTTGGAGAAAACCACTGCATTTTGTTAATTATTTCCTGAATATTTTGTAGTTCATTTTTTCCCCCTTCTTTAAGGTCTTCCTTTGTAGGTCTGTTGGGTTTTTTTCATATTTATTTGTTTGTTTGTTTATTGGTGGTGCTGGTGGTCCTGGTGGTGGTGGTGGTATGCCTTGATTGCTTTCTCTTTCTGTTTTCTGTTTGTCCAAGATGCTTAATCTTTGTGGTTATGACAAGACTTATTTAAAGCATTTTATATATAATACTGTTATGCCCAGATTGTGACCCCAAAGAGACCACCGATGACCGTGGATTTCCAGAATGCAACAGCAAGGTTTATTCTGTAGATACAAGTCTAGACAGGGAACTCATTCCTACACCCAATACACCCAAGGGAGGAGTTGCTCTTTCTTTGTGAGGCTAGCTTTTTAAAGGCAAAAACTGCAAGCCCTTCAGGGCGTTTGGGGGGGGGGGGTTAGGGGGGTTTGGCACAGGTGCAACTTGGATTGGTTTTTTTTTTTTTATCTCTGTTCTCTTTTAGTTGGGTGAGGGTATGTAACCTTTGAATTTACTGGTTGGGGGTTACAATTATCATTTTGGGGGCTGTCCAGGACAAGTTCCAGGCTCTGTCCTTGAGCTGCCATGGGGGCTGGCTGGCCTAGCATGTACTGACTGTGGGGGCTGGCTCAGTGGTCTAGGCTCTGTCCTTGACTCATGCACATAACTCTAAGTTGGTGAGGGGTCCCAGACAGTAAACATCTGGCTGAACTTTGAGCAGTCAGAGTACGTGCAGAAAGGGAGCTACTGCAAGGCCTATGTCTTTTGTTCACGGCCCTCCCAGAGACTGCTTGCTCAGTCTCAGGAAACTGAAATTGAGGCCTGATCTCTGAGAGAAGACTGAGCAGCCTGTTATGGCATCTGCTTGGTCCTTTTAATACCTTATTTTAAATGAATAGCAACTTCCCAGTGCTAGGAGGTAGAGATGGGAGGACTGAGGCAGCTCATCTGGTCAGTCAATCTAGCTGATTTATGAGCTCTGGGTTCAGTAAGAGACCCTGTCTCAAAAAAAAAATGGTAGAGAGTGATAGAGGAAGACTCTAGAGATGGCCCTCTGGCCCCCAGGAGTGCAGCACAAGCATGCCCCTGACTCCCACTCCAACCCAAACAGCATCCTGAATTGCCTGTCATCACATACAGAAATTTTTTTTTTTATTTTGGTTTTTCAAGACAGGGTTTCTCTGTGTAGCTTTGCACCTTTCCTGGAACTCACTTTGTAGCCCAGGCTGGTCTCGAACTCACAGAGATCCACCTGCCTCTGCCTCCCAAGTGCTGGGATTAAAGGCGTGTGCCACCACTGCCCGGCCAGAAATTCTTTATTTTTGCTTATCCTAAGTGTTTTTATGAGGTTCTTTGATGAAGTTCTGTATTTGGATACACAGTGGCCATTTCCAGTTTAAGGAATTAGGGCAGTTTTTTAATATATACAATATATAGTCCCAAGCCATTAAGTCATGGAGGACTGATTGAACTTGGTAACTGGGTGTATCAGGAAATAAAATTGTTCTTCTCTGACAAAAGTAAATATTTAACCATTCCCTGGGTGAGTTTTCTTTTTTCTCCCTGACGGTGTGTTTCTGAATGACTCATCTTCTGACGGCAGGTGCCTCTGCTTCCGGCTCTGCTGCTGCTAATGCTTGTTGCCTCAGTTTTATTCCATTCACTGGGTCCTTTAGCTCCAGGATTTCTGTTGTTTCAAAAAAATTATAATCTCTGTTAAATTTGTAGTTTGGGTTATTCTAGTCCTTCATTTTCCTGTTTCCATTGACTTGTTTTACTGTATTTTCTTCAGGCTCAATAAGCTTCCAAAGAACAATTAATTGGGGATTATTGCAGAGAAGCTGATATATCTCCATTTCTTTGTGGTCAGCTACTGGGAAAGGCGTGCATGCATGCATGTTTTTCTTTTCTCCTTGGTTTATTGTGTGGCATTGTGTTAGTATCTGAACATATAAAGTGGGACTTATTATTCTTGTCTTTGAATAACAGTTCTGTCTGTGAGAGGGCTCCACCAGAGAGCTGGCATGGCATGTAGGTACACTTGCCCTTGGAGATCTCACATAGGCAGGAAGTGGCAGCCAGCAAGCATTTGTTAGTGATGAGATGCCATATTCAAAGTCCGATCTTGCATTTATTGGGCTGCTCAATGGAGCAAGCAGATGTTCTTGTTCCAGAAGGTTCACTAGCCACACAGCTCCTCAGGTCTCAAGAGCTACATATACAGTGACTTGCCTCTTCCTTCCATCCCTGCTGACTCTTTGCTCACTGGTTTGGCCATGAAGAGCGTTCCATTGGTCCTTGTGGTCTTTGTCTTGCTCTCCTATGTTCCACCAGGTAACATGGATTCCTTTCCTTATGGAATCATGGTGTGGGGTTCTGTAAGACCGAGATAAGGGCAGTGCTGAGAGACCAGGAATAGAAATAGAGATCTCCGGAGACTGCCCCGGGTCTCCTCTTGACTCTCTGTCCCCAGAGGGGTGCTCCGGGGCTAGGGAGCACACAGCAGGCAAGTGTGCTTCTCAGGAGCAGCTGATCATACACTATTGATCATTTGCACACATTGATTCTTACTGCAGATCAAAGCCCAATCCATGGTTCTACGCTGGCAGCTAGTAGAGACACCAAAGCTTACCAAAGAGGAGCAGGATGACTCAGGCTGCACCCAGTCCCATGAACTGCACCCTACCTCCTGCCCATTATTCCTTGGCTTCCAGGGGCACTTAGATATTAACATTGCTAGATTTTAGGTATGGGTTTTAGGTACTTGAAGCCATTTCTTACCCATTACCCCACAGGATACCTCTGAGTACCCTGTCATTAAGCTAGGACAGGTAATGGGGCACTTAACAAAAAGTCATCCAGAAAGGTATTGGACACATTGGAATGGAATTAAAGACTTCTGAGTTCTAGGCCATTGGTCTTCCTTTCTTCAGACTGAACTTTTGACAACCAAAAGCTCCCTGGGAGATGCTTGCGTCTCCTGATATGGAGTCTCTGCAGACACCTGGAACTTCTCTGTCTTCCACGTAGAAAATAGCAGCAAACTGAACCTACTGTGCTGTTCCATGCAGAGAAATGACCAGTGGGTCGTGTAGTTTTGGACCATAGGAGCTAATGGCTCATAACGGGGCCCCTGAAAGCTGGAGTCAAAGCAACTGGAAGGAGTGTGTAGCCATAGATCCGGCGGATATATTTGATTATGTAGAGTTTCTTATAAAAGTGTGTGAAGGGCCTGAAGTCTAAATTATTCATGACACTGGAGGTCAATAATTGGACATTAACCTTTTTCTCCTTCTTTACAGTTAGGAGTGGACTGAATATTTACATAAGACAAATTTTTGATTCATGCTGGCTATTCAAAGGCGTTTGCAAGGAAGAATGTGACAGAGAACAAGAAGAAATTTTTAACATTTTGTGTGACACTAAATTCTTGTGCTGTATAGACCGTAAGGACATGCCCACTCTGTTTGTGAAGTAATTGTGAGTATCTGGGGTCTCCCACTGGTTCCTCTGGGAAATCTGAGAAGCTCAGTTTCACTATTAAAATGTTGGCTTTAGTCTGTCAGTGTTTCTGTAGGCTGTGTTTCTTGGTTGTCTTTCTTCAGGAAATACTTTAAATTAAATTCCTTGTCACCAGTATTTTTCTCATTACCCTACAAGGGACATTTCCTAAGGTGCTTCTAAAGGAAAAGTCCCAGCATCCATTTTCATTTTTAACCTTATATCAACAGAATTATCCAGTAGTTACTTTTTTTTTTGAGACAGGATTTCTCTGTGTAGCTTTGGAGCCTTTCCTGGAACTCGCTCTGTAGCCCAGGCTGACCTCAAACTCACAGAGATCCATCTGCCTCTGCCTCCGGAGTGCTGGGATCAAAGGCGTGCACCACCACTGCCTGGCCATACTTTTGTGGGGCTTCAAGCAGAGCCCAGATCTCACCTACGCTAAGCAAGGACTCTACAACAGAACTAGATCAGCCCCAGCTGGTCCTTCTTCAGTCTGATTTCTACTCTGAAATGCTTTTGTGAATGTATTCCATTGTGTCATGTAACTGTACTCACCACTCTCAATGTAGTATTACGTTGGAGAACTATTCTTGTGTAGTTAAATGACTGTATCTATAGTTTGTGACAAACATTGCTTTCTTCCTTTCTTATAGGTCACATTTGTTTTAGTAGATCAACGTGTAGTTGTGGACCCAGAAATCTCACCTCTGTCTCTCAAATTGATTGTACCGATTTATGTCCTCAACCATGTTGTTACTTCTTATTCTGGATCCCGGCTAGTGTTTTCTATCCCCAGTCCCGCTCTGGGGTATGTATACTAATAATACATAGTAACTGAATTTGTATTTTACCTATGACTAATAAATGTTTACAGAACGGTCAGATGTCCTTGTTTGTGACTGGGGTACAGCTGGAAGTTAGAGCATTTGCCTATGTATCCCTATTCACAATGTGTTTATTCAAGCTTTAATGTAGAAAATAGGAAAATAAAAGTCACCTGGAAAATACCTAAATTGAAGTGTTGAGCATGTTTATAATACCCATGGGGGTTTCCTACTGCTTAGTGGGACTACATCATTTAAACATTTCTGTTGGGTGGGGATGTAGCTCGGTTTGCAGAATGCTTTCCTAGCATGTGTGAAGCCTTGAGTTCATCCTGCCAGTCTCTGTTGCCAAGTAATGATGAAGACATAATGATATACTCCTGTTTGTACACACTGGTGGAAGGGTGTGCAACAACTTAACCTTATGTATCATCATGGTTGTGTTCTTAATGGCCGTGAGTGCTACTGGGGTTGACTCCCCAGTTCTGACAGGCTGATTCTGGTTCTCCCACCTCCCCATCAGCCTCACCTGGCTGTTGGAAGGGCCCCAGGCCATGCAAACAACCCCCTCCTCCCCAGTATATGTTTTTGGCAGAGGAAAATTTACATAGAATATTCTCTGTGGGAAATAACTGTTCACCTCTAGGACAAGCTTAATCTTTTTTTTGTTTTCTCTAACTTGAACTATTCTGCCATTCACTTCCTCTCTCATTTCCCTGGTAAACTGTTGCCCAGGCTTTGAGGCCATTCAGACACTTTTGGTTTCCTGCCAAAAATTTTCCTTGGGAACTCTGACTCGGTGCAAATCTTATCACATTTGCTTTTGAAACCCAGACAGATTCCATCATCTACTTTCCTGCCCCCACCTCATCTTGAATTCTTTAGCACCTAAAACCCAATTTAAAATGCCAGTCCAAATCATTCCAGGGTTCTGGAGCCTCTCATGTCTTGTGGTAATCCTTCCCCATCATGGGCCTCAGCAAAGTAACTGAAGTCCTCTACCACTCGAGTCCCCATGAGTTAACTTGGGTCTCTTGCTCTACAGGCTAGGTAAACTGGAAATCAAGCACCCCCTCTTTTCAGCAATGCCCACCCTTCCCGGGGACCACAGGCAGCACTAAGCAAGTGTTCCCAACAGCTTCTCTCACGTTAGATCCCATTACACAGCGTTGGTCTCAAGGAAGGGAAAGCAGCCACATCTCTCCGTTTCTCTACTTCTACAGTCCTCAGACTGATCCCATCTGGCCCCATGCCCCATGACCTCACGGGCCACGCTGCAAGGGACTCCCTCATTTCTGTTTAAAAGGCTTCAATTTGCCGAGCAGCTTAGATGCAGACTCTTGTTCGATTATAGTTTCCTATACTGGGCCATTATCGAGGCCCCTGTATACATATGGAATCATAGATTTTACGTCTACATATTTGTGTGGTAGACTCCATTTATTAAGAAAGCATGACACTCTCTCTAGAGAGCATTCTATGCTTTACTGAGTGGATAAAACAAAAGTCGGGACAAGGAGAAAGTCAGACTTCTCTTTGTCTGCACCACCGTGAGAGCAGGACTATGTTAGGTGTCTCCATGCCACCCTGGGACACTTCACGTGCAGATGACTTGACATTGGTTGCATGTCTTCTCCCTCACAAGAGAAATCATACACTTGCCACTTGAGCAACCAGCCGTAACCTCCAAAACCACGTGGGAAAGGCGGCCACATTGGGATTGGGCTCATGACTGCTTCACCTTCAAACAGATCAGTCTTAGCTGCATGCCTTATCGCCCTCATCAGGGCCATGCAACTGCTCCGCTTTACCCCGTCTTTGCTCTTTTGTCTGTCCGTGCTCAGGCTTTAACTGTGCTGTGGGACATTTTCTAGGGATATCCAGAGAGGGCACCAAAGACACAACCAAGAGATGGTTCTACCCAAGTTTGTCTTGACAAACCAATGAGTTTATTGGAGTTACTTACGGGGTGAGGTGTGCATAGACCCTCAGGCAGGTGCATCATTGAGAAGCCCATTCCAAGATGGGTGGTGACTCATGAAAGATGCATTCCTGCAGCTTCCTGCAAAACTCGAGAAGAGCTCCACTAAAGCATCTCCTGGAATGTTTACTGCACATGTGACCTTGGAGACAGGCTTTGTGAGTATCATAATTTTCTTAGCTTCCAGAGCCTTGAAAGCTTTATGACCTCTCTGTTTATGTTACACCAGCTAATGCTACTGTTAATGGATGTTATCTAGGAATACAGTTGACCTATTTATCTGGTAACCTTACTGAACTCATTTTTATTATTTTTCTTTTTTTTTTTTTTTTTTGAGACAGGGTTTCTCTGTGTAGCTTTGCACCTTTCCTGGATCTCGCGCTGTAGACCAGGCTGGCCACGAACTCACAGACATCCACCTGCCTCTGCCTCCCGAATGCTGGGATTAAAGGCGTGCGCCACCACCGCCCGGCTATTTTTCATTTTTTAAGACAGAGTTTTTCTGTTTAGCTGTGGCTGTCCTGGAACTCGCTCTGTAGACCAGGCTGGCCTGGAACTCATAGAGACCCACCTGCCTCTGCCTCCTGAGTGCTGGGATTAAATGCATGTCCCACCATTGCCAGGTGTGAACTCATTTCTTAATTCTCATAGTTGTTTTCAATAGATGCCTTGAGATTGTCTACATAGCCAATCGCACACCTTAGACAAGAGACTTTTCTTTGTATTTTTTAATTGGTGGGCTCCGACTTTTCCTCCTCATCATACTGACTAGTAATCCCCCCAGCAGGACACTAAGAGTTTTGAGAACAGGTATTTCTTCTTAGCTTTTAACTTTTTCTTTTTTCTTTTTATTATTTGTGTGTGTATGAGCTTTTTGCCTGCATGTATGTCTATGCACCATGTGTGTGCAGTGCCCAAGGAGGCCAGAAGAGTGTGTCAGATACCCTAGAATTCAAGTTACATATAGTTGTGTCCTGTGGAAGAGCAGCCAGTGCTCTTAATCTCTGAGCCATCTCTGGAGAGACGCCCTCTTGTCTTCTTTTTGATTCTTGTGGCAATGCAGTATTTCACCATTAAACATAATGTCAGCTGTGGTTTTTGTCTGTTCTTGTTTGTTTGTTTTTAAATCGCATTGAGGAAGCTGCCTTCTCCACCTAGTTTCTAAGAGTTCTTAGCCTGAGTTATTTTTCTTTTCTTTTTTCATTTATTTATTTATTTGCCTGGGTTATTTATATACTTATTTCTGCTAAACAGAGTCTGTCACTCACAAGTGGCACACGCACTATACACTGGCAGACATGGTGCTTCCCCCAAATGCCATCACTTAGCCATTTGTAATTTATGTTGAAAAAAACTAGAAGGGAACGACCTTGGAGTAACTTGAGGAGATGACAGCTGAAGTTTGAGTTTCTTGAGATGTAAGTTATTTGGTGATAAACACATTATCTCCATAAATATTAGACAGTAGGAAAGATATTTCCCCATATCTATCACTTATACTGCTTTTGTATTAATTATTTATCAATTATTTGTGTGTGTGTGTGTGTGTGTGTGTGTGTGTGTGCGCGCGCGCGCGCGCGTGAGGAGCACCATGGTACATGTGTGGAGGTCAGAGGACAACTTGTAAGAGTTGGCTCTTTCCTATTCTTTTAAAAGGATTTATTTTATTTTTTTTTTCATGGGGTGGGGGAGCTGCAGTTACAGGTAATAACTGGTTGAGCTCAAGCCCTTTGAAAGAACAGCAAGAGCTCTTAACCACTGAGCTGCCTCTCCAGCCCCTTCTCTCTCCTTTCGCTGTAACGGATGGAACCCATGTCGCCAGGTTTGGCAGAAGCGCCTTTATCCACTGAGTCATCTTCTTGGCCCTATTTATGTCATTCACGTCTTTCATAGTGTGCAGTGACAGTTACTATTGTCTAAATTGTTCCTTCCGTGGTTTCTTTGGCTTTGGAAATCATGCTTACATATTTTTATGGCTCTGATCTGAAATGTTCCCCAAGGGCTCATCTGTTGAAAGCTTAGTCTTCAACACAACAGTTTTAGAGGAGTAATTAGCTAGTGAGGGCTCTGACATCATTAGCCCAGCATGTGCTGCTGAGTTGATGGACTTTGGGGAAGTGAGGGAAACTTTGGAGATGGGTGCCAGTTGAAGGGCGCTAGTCCTGACTGAGCATGCGCCAAGGACTACATACCGCCCCAGGCTTCCTCCTCACAAATTCATCTCGTTACTACAAGGTTGGCAGCTTTGCTCTGTCACGTGCTCCCTGCCCTGGTGTTCTGCCTGGTCCTGTTCCAGGAGCAAGGATCCACATGACTATGGACTGAAATCTTTTGTGAGTCAAAATAAACATTTTCTCCTCTAAGTGACATTCCTTGGGGATTTTGCCACAGCAAGGAAAACTAGTATGTTAATACAGGCATCTTCTATGCTTAACTACATCTGGGAGCCAGTGACTGAATGTTTTCTAGATTAGAAAGACATTTAAAACTGGAAAGGTCAACTTACCTGTGAGTTTGCACCCGAATCCTTCCTCGTTAGAACTCTAAACAAGGACTCCGAAAGAAAAATGAAGGTGTATTAAGGGCTTACCAGTTTTAGAGTCAGCCAGTAGAGCAGTTAAGCTTCCGTGAAAGACCGCCGACCCAACACATCATGTCATGTATGTGGCTCAAACGATTTTTAGCCCAATTACTTTAACTACTAAGACTCGCTTGGAAGCCTAGGGCTAAAATAGGCAAAGGTTAGATCATTGTCTTGGTTAAATAATAAGAACGTTGGACAACACTGACTGAAAGAACGTCCCCAGAGACACACCACATCCATGTCCACCCACCAGAGTCTCTCTAGTAGTCAATATACAAGTTTAAATGACATTTGAAGATAGGAAGCTTGCTATAAAGAGTCTGGGACCGTCTGCCCTTGGGCTAGAAACCTTGCACAATGGAATTTGGAAAAGCTGAGCGGCGTGAGAGGAGTTTGTCAACACCATGGAGAAGAAACTGCTAAAGGTCAGATTGAAATCTACTCCTGTCCCAGGAGGCTGAACGCGGTGCCGACCCTATGACTTAGGTATTTTAAAAAAAATCTACAATAATTAGACTCCCCAACTCTAAACTCATCCAACAAATATATATATATGTAAATGAGTTAAATATATAGTCATCAAAAAGAAATCCAAATGACCAATAAAATTCTGAAAAATGTTCAGTCTTTTTATCTGTCAGGAAAACGAAAAATCAAAACTACATTCCAGGGGCTGGAGAGACGGTCCATCCACTACCTGCATTTCTCGTGCAGAGGATCCTGGTTTGATTCCCAACTTCCTTAGCGTCTCACAACAGTAATTCTGGTTCTATTGGGCCCGGCTCCCTCTTCTGGTTCCCACCAGCTCCTGCACCTAAGAGGTGTATATAAACTTAACTGCAAGCACAACGCACATTCACCACTCACATATAAAAAATAAATTCTTTTAAAAAAATGATTAAAAGGTCTCCAGATCCCATCTCACTCGTGTCAGGGTAGCTATCATTAAGCAGTCGCACAGCAGTGGGGGTGGGGCCGCGGGAGCCGGGGACAGCTGTGAGCGTGGGCCTTGGGAGGAGGCGGCGCCCGGCTCTCCGACGATGGCCGGGCTGCAGGCGCTGGTGCAGCGGGTGCTGCGCGCGCTGGTGTGGCGGGCACTACAAGCCCTGCTCTGCCCGCACCACGCGCTCATCTCGGCGCTGCGCGCGCGCCCGGGCACCTGGAGCTGGATCCGGTGGCTCCCCAAGCCTCTGACGAACTGTGGGCACTCTTGTCGCAGTCCGCACCGGCCCTTGCACCGGCACTCGCAATCGCAATCGTACTCGCCGGGAGACCCGGCGCTGGCCATAATGCACCCCGGGCTGCGCTGGCGCGCGGACTGCGGGACCCTGCACAAGCTGCCCGTGCACCTGGGTCTGCTGATCACGGAGTTGGAGCACAGCTTCTCGGACGTGGCGAGCATCGTGGTGTGGTGCGTGGCCGTGGGGATCTCCTACGTTAGCGTCTACGACCACCAGGGTATTTTCAAAAGAAATAATTCCAGACTGATGGAGGAAATTTTAAAACGACAACAGGAACTTTGGGGCTTAGATTGTTCCAGATACTCAGCAGAGTTGGCAGAGAGTAATGGCAAAGACGGTCTCGTTTTAATCTGCCGGTCGGCCGTGCAGGTGCTGTCCCCAGAAGACGGGAAAGCAGACGTTGTGAGAGCCGCCCAGGACTTCTGCCAGTTGGTGGCGCGGCAGCAACGGAGAGCCACGGATCTGAACGTGGATGTGTTTGACCGCTTGCTTCGTTCCCACGGCTTCCCTGATCCGGATTTAGTACTGAAGTTTGGTTCTGTGGACAGCACATTAGGCTTTCTCCCCTGGCAAATCAGACTGGCTGAGATCGTGTCCTTGCCTTCTCACCTGAACCTCCGTTACGAGGACTTCTTCTCCGCCCTTTGTCAGTATGCGACGAGTGAACCGCGTCTGGGAAAGTAGTGGTCCCTGTTTGCGTCCCTTTTGGAACTAAGGACCCGAGGGACTCTGATGTTTACAAAGTATCTATAAATACCCTGTGCACACCTAGTTCATATTCCTCATAATTTATCAGCAGACACAAAGAATGTCTTACTCGAGTGTGTGTGTGTGTGTGTGTGTGTGTGTGTGTGTGTGTGTGTGTGTGTGTGTGTGTTTGGGAATAAACCAGGGAGGCAGCCGGGAATGGAATAGCAGAGGATATGAGCCTTTAGATTTAAAGGTCTCAGCCGGTACAACTTTCCTGATTTTGTGAAGTATAGGAAGTGATTAAAGCTGGTCGTTTGGAGTGGGGTGAGGGTAATTTTTATTCAGTTTATCCTAGTGACCAAACTTTAATTTTTAAGAATAGTATATTGACTTACTAAACAGGAGTATTCTCATTTTTTTTTTTTTTTTTTTTTTTTTTTTTTTTTGGTTTTTCGAGACAGGGTTTCTCTGTGTAGCTTTGCGCCTTTCCTGGGACTCACTTGGTAGCCCAGGCTGGCCTCGAACTCACAGAGATCCGCCTGGCTCTGCCTCCCGAGTGCTGGGATTAAAGGCGTGCGCCACCACCGCCCGGCAGTATTCTCATTTTGAGGGCGATTCAGAGGAGCAGAATCCTGTACTCACATGTTGAAAGCTTACTTACATTCAGAACATCTCTCCTCAGATTTCTGGCCATATCCGTTGCATTATTCTGTAAGCAATGTGACTTTGGAGTACTGATTTGGTGCCTGTGTTCTGGGTTGTGAAGATCATTTGAAAAAGAAATCGCTCTGTATTGAAGTGCTGAAGATAACAATTTTAAATGTTGAATTATGCAGTTAAAAACTAAATAAATAATCGTCTTAAAGGTGGAAAATTTCCTAAAAAGACAGTTTTGATGCCTTTGCTGGTGTGAAGACTAGCGTACCACATGGTACCCAGAAACATTTCCATTAGCGTTTTATTTAAAATGAACATTTGAGAGAAGCAACCAAGGTAGCCCGTTCCTCCTCCCAGTAGTCCCTGGGTAGATTCTCCCCCTCCCCAGTAAATCTCAATAACAACTTTGCATAGAGGACTGAGCAGGACAGAGGTCTGTCTGTGTCACTAAAGTCTATGAAACTAACTTAACTTGATCATTTGTGTTCTCTTGTGTCAGAGAACAGCACTGGCCCTATTATTTTAAGAAGAAGTCAATTCTTAACAGGGATTTAATGTTTTTCCCATACTGCTCACGTTTTGATGGAAACCATTCTTTACATGTAATGGGCAGTTTTCAGAAAGCTCTTACCAGCACGAGTCATGTACATTTAGTGTGGAGCCATTTAAATATCAGGCCCCAGAAATCTGAAAAACAGCAAAGACAACTGGGTTTGGAAAGTAGGATCTAGAATAGCATCTCAGACTCTGAGGGGAAGAATGTGTTTTCACTTGGGATTACAAACCCCATTTATGATGTTAAAAAATACTTATAATAGAAATTATTAAAATGAAATTTGGTCCAGTGATATTACTTTACACTTAAGGTTTTTTTTTTTTGTACAACTTCTTTTTTAAAAGGTCTTAATTATTGCCAAAACTTTGTGTGAGGCTACAACATATGTAAACATTGTTAGAAAATCCCCCTTTTCTGGCGTCCTGGGCAGCGATCCATGTTCCATTGGTTTTTATCCTCCCTAGGGAGGTTAACTTAAGAAAATTCAGTGCTTTTTATTAGCATGATATACATGTTCTCAATGGACCTTTTGGAGTTGGTATGGCTTTAGTGAATTAAACTTAGCTTAACTGGAGTAAAGCGATTTAAGATTTGTTAGCCGGACGTGGTGGTGCCCACCTTTAATCCCAGCACTTGGGAGGCAGAGGCAGGTGGATCTCTGTGAGTTTGAGGCCAGCCTGGTCTACATAGTGAGTTCCAGGATAGCCAGGGCTACACAGAGAAACCATGTCTCAAACAAACAAAAAACAAAAACAAAACCCCCAAACAAACAAAATTGTTAAAATGAAGTTAAATTGCCTATCAGAACAGAACCAAAATCCTAAGTCTATTGTAGTCTTAGGAAGAATTGCCTCAGCAAGTAACTAGGGTCTGCATTTCAATGTAAGCATTCTAGAACCTTCACACGTGATTGCTAATGCAATCTGGACAACATGAAGTGTACTGTTCTTTCTGTAATTCTTGTCAGGATCATCACAAGCTGTACATCATCCAAACCCCTTGGAGCTTCCTACTCACTGATGGCATCTTGGACTGTGTAAAGAAGTTGGAGGGTTTGAACTCATTCTGAAGCTGGACTGTGGATTGCTTCTTCAAACTGACTGGTGGTTGCTTGAAGTTGAAAAGCTGATTAAAATGTGAATAGCAAATTCTGGTACTTTGTGACTGAGTCTCGAATGCCTGTTTCTGACAAGGAAATGCTACAATATTAATGAACAGTGCCAAATAAATGGTGCATACCTATAATTCAGTCTTTGAATGTATGCTAATTAGCTCCTCCCATCTCTGTGATGGTTCCACTCTTAGAATCAGTGAAGTTTTTGTGATGCTTGGAGTGGAGATTTTGACAACATGTAAACAATGTATACAGCAGGTTTTTATGATTAAGGAATCAAATTTATTGAATTTTATTAATAAAGGTTGAAATATATATGAATGAAAAAAATCAATAAAAGAATATACTTTCTTCATGGACCATAGTGGCTATGTGAATATTATATTTATTCTAAACAGGGACTACAGAAGAACTGTTTATTTATTTTGCTTCTTTTTTGAGACAGAGACTTTTTTTTTAGCTAGTATGTTCTTTTCTGGAGCATATTCTCATTTTCACCATTTGCAGTCTTAAATAGTTTATTATTTATTTAAACCAAAAGGGTCAGCTTCACCTTTACCAGAACTGTTGAATTCCACAGTGACTAAAAGCTGAATTTTCACTGAATCTAGAAACGGTGACTTGGACAGTTCTTATAAAGGAAGAGATGGAAAGGTGAGAAGTGTGACGGGCCTAAGCACAGTGTTCTCTTCCGAACACAAGACCCAGCTGGAGACAGCTTTATACCTGCTGCTTTCCTCGAAAACCAGGACCCACCAAAGGCCGGCTCCGACTCTGGGATCTGCCTTTAGCAGAAGTGACTGTAAGACGGTGTGAAGGAAAACCTAGGGCCTGCATCAGCACTCACCCAAGATTCTAACTGATAGCTGTGAATGGATAAAAGTTACAGAAAAGGAGAACGTGAAAAGAATTTCCTGGAGGCTTAAAAACATTTACTATAAGTAATAACAACATTTAAGAAAATTAGAGGGTTCGGAGAAATAAAAATCAAGAGGCCTTGATTACATTGTGATGACCGTCTTTCCAAGATTTTCTTTTATTTTAAAAAACGCATGATACTATGTCAGTGGGATGAAAAGGATTCTTTTAAACAAGAAAGAGAGAAATCAAACAGCAAGTGCTGGGAAGGTTGTGGAAGAAAGGAACTTCTGTGCTCTGCCAGGGGGAATAAACTAGTGCAGCTGCTATGGAAATCAGGCCAGAGGTCCCGCAAGACACTAACTATGGGATGACCATGTGATTCAGCTGTTCCACTCCCCGGGGCTGTGCCTTACGGAATCTAAGTCAGCAACACACAGAGATACTGCACGTCCTTGTCCACTTGCAGAACTAGTCACCATAGCTGTGACACAGATGCCCACCAAGAGATGAATGAATCAACACAGTCTACATCCACAATGAAACTGCGGACAACCATTAATAAAAATGAACTTCTGTACAAGATGGTGAAGTAGCGGCCGCCTCTGTGCGAGCTGGTGAAGGAGCGTGTCAGAACAAGACAAAAGAAGACCACATTAAAAGGGAGAAGTAGAGGAAGTGCATCTGAGAGCCATGAAGGGAGGTGGGGTGGTAACTGGGAATGAGCAGAGAAAATAATGCAGGACACAGAGAAGCAAGCCAAACTGTGTCAGCCAGGTAGTTGTCTGGCAGAGGGAGGGGAGATAGAAGCCACCTCCAAAAGGTGAGCCAAACGAAAGCCGTGTAGTCCTATCTCAATCAGCCGCAGCCCTTGAAAGCCTCAGATCCAGTTGGAGGTTTCGGTGAGAAAATGATTCATCTGCCAGGTGGGTCAGCAGTGGATGGAACAGCGAGGGGGTGTTTTGTGAGATAACTGTATGTTAACAACTGGGCCTGATGGAGGCGCCAAGATTAGGGAACATCCACAGGCAAAGGAATCTCAGTTTGGCCTGCCATATTTTTGGGAGAAGAAGGGCCCAAGTGAGGCGGTCATTGAGAGCAAGAGGGCTGAAAGAGGGGAAAGCATGGCTTAGTCTAGCCGTGTATAAGGAGAGAGGGTTCTGCCTGCAGTGGACAGGAACAGATCTCATCAACTGAGAATCTACCTGCAGTTATATAGCTCTGAGCCTGAGGGTCAGTGTGTGGTTAAAATTCTGGAGCAACCTGTCGGTTACTGCTGCAAAGCCTGAGAGCTCTGAGCTGGGGGGCGGGCTACATGACACCCCTAACTGCATCCTTCCTGCAGAGTGATTATTATGCAAGAGGTGCTCTGCCTGTTCTGATCTCAGTGATGTGGCTGTTTCCCTCACGGCCAGTACACTTGAGAGGAAGCCCTTAGCTGAAAGAGTCACACCTATGGGTATCATCTGGGGAGTCTTGCCCAACCCGAAGGAGGAAAAGCCAAGTGTGGCCAGCAGAGGCCTCTGATACACAAAGAAAAACTACTGCCACAAAAAACATCTCTGGTGGACATCAACTTCTCTTGTTCAGTACAGACTAAGCAACTATAGGCAAGACAGCAGGTTCAACTAACCCTCTCCCTATACATAATGGCCTAGCACAGACGCCCCCCCCAACATACAGTTTAGCCAGAGATGTTAAAGACCTACACAATGAAGCTATAAAGAACTGAAAAATAAGTTTAAGGACGCATTAGAAGGAAAGAATTAGTTCAGCAGAATTAATACTGTTAGAAGGCAAATTGTCCTATAGATCCAGAGAGGTAATTGCTCTTTTTTACCTCCTCCTCCTCCTCTTTCTTTTTCTCCTCCGTCATCTTCCTCCTCTTTCTTTTGAGACAAGGTCTCACTGTGCAGCCTTGGCTGACCTGGAATTTGCTATGTAGACCAGGCTGGCCTCAAACTCATAGAGATCCATCTGCTTCTGTTTCCTGAGTGCTGGGACTAAAAGCATACTCTGGCTTCTGCCTGATACTCGATATTCTTTTTTTTTTTTTCCCCAGAGACAGGGTTCCTTTGTGTAGTTTTGGTGCCCCTGTCCTGGAGCTTGCTCTGTAGACCAGGCTGGCCTCGAACTCACAGAGATTCGCCTGGCTCTGCCTCCTGAGTGCTGGGATTAAAGGCATGCGCCACCACTGCCTGACCTATACTCATATTCTTTATTGGCTCAAATTCTATTATGGCTGATCCCAGGCTGCTTGCTGCCAGGAGCTCAGTAGTCACCACACATAGCTCAGAGCCCTAGAGCCCTGATTGCTGCTCCACTGGGCCCTTCAGTTGTTCTATCTGGCTTTGAGACCTTGGACTAGTCCACACTGTCAGGAGAAGCTTGTTCCAGGCTCCTTGACCAAACAGATAAAGGCACCAGGTGGTAACAGAGATACAAGACCTTTGAGAGAGGCCATATCCCCAAATACCAGATAAACAGAGGAAACCCACATCTTAACCCTGCTGTGAGTTAGCCCCCTCCTGAACATTGCAGACATCTCTGCTGAAAGAAGAAAGGTGATTGGAATAAAAAAAGAAAGAAAGAAAGAAAAGAAAGGGAGGAAGGAAGGAAGAAAGAAAACTCAACCAAAGAGCTAATTCTAGATGCACAAACCCCAATGCAGAAATAAAAACAACAAGCAAAAGAATTTGTCATCCCCAGAACAACACAAATCCCATGGTGACATGCTTTAATGAGAATAATCTGGAAGAATGCCCAGACAAAGAATTAAAAACATTCCAACCCAAAGAAGATAAAAAACAAAACAAAACAAAGAGATGGGTGAAATGAAGAAACCCAAACTGAAATGATGTTGAAAACGGAAAAACAACAAACCAACAAAAAAACCTCAGTGGAAAGTCTCAGCAACAAAATGGACCATGTCAAAAACAGAGAGGGATGGATTTAAGACAAAGAAGAGGCACTAGATCACTCAGAAAAGTTCAATGAGGGAAAACAGATGAGTGGAACATGGGCAACTTCTCGGGCATCATGAAAAGGCCTAGCCGCCACATTGTGGGCGTAGGAGAAGAATATCACAGTGAAGGCACAGAAAACATCTCCAATGAAGTCATAGAAGAAAATTTCCCAAATCCAGACTGCTTATCCAGGTAGAGGTCTATAGAACACCAAACAGACAAGACCAGAAAAGAAATTCTCCATGACGTATTATTGTTAAAACATTGAAAGCTGGTTTCTTACAAAGGTATTAGATAACACTGGACTCCTTGACAGAAACCTTTAAAGCCAGAAGGGCCTATAAGAGTGTAAAAAGATCACAAAACACATTCTAATTTATGTAATCACCATGATAGCTCATTACAGGTAGTATTCATTATAATTTAAATTTATTCTTTGACAACTTCATACTTGTATATAATACATATTGATCATATTCACCCCGCTCCTTTCTCTTATTCCTCTACCCCTCCCGCTGAGCCCTTCTCCTCCCCAATACTTCTCATCATACTTTTATTTCTTCTCTTCTTCCTCTTCTTCTTCTTTTAAATACCCACTGAGTTTGATTAGCATTGCCCAGGCCAACCCTGTATACATGATGGAGTATATAGTTGAAAACACAATCTAGTAAAAAAAATTATAGATGTGAAAATAGACTGTAAGATGTGATAAAGCATGTATTTATTTCAACGTGGCCATGTAAGCATGAAGTTTCTTTTACTCGTCTTATCATTTATTCTTAGGTGGACACGGAACTTTTCACTACTTTGGATGTCTTTTCCTAAGAAGATGAGTTCAACTAGTCACCACAACCTTTTCTTCTTTGCTTCTCTGCTCTTTGCTCCACAGCAGATGGTCCAATCCTCACAATATCTGATGGCATATTCGGTGGCGTCGCACTTCATTCTGCAGTGGCGGTACTCGGAGGAGCACTCCTGTCCCTCAAGGAAGCTCCTGGCTTTGAAAAGAGAAGACAAAAATGTTTCACTGTATTGCTTATTTGTTACCACTTTTAAAAAGATTCAACCGGGCGGTGGTGTTACACATCTTTAATCCCAGCACTCGCAGAGGCAGACAGATCTCTGTGAGTTTGAGGCCAGCCTGGGCTATACAGTGAGTTCCAGGAAAGGCTACAAAGCTATGCAGAGAAACCCTGTCTCAAACCCCCTCCCCCCCCCCAAAAAAAAAGAAAAAAAATTCATTTCTACTACTTTAAAAATTTCTGCATGTGTGTATGTCTGTCTGCCATGTATGTGAATGTCCATGAACTCCAGAAGAGTGTTGGATCCCCTAGAGCTGGAGTTACAGGTGGTTGTGAGCCACCTGACGTGAGTGCTTGAGAATTAGACTCGGATCCTTTGCAAGAGCAGTATCTTAACTGCTGAGTCGTTTCTTCAGCCCCTCTATTTGTTATTTTTAGTATTACTTTAAGTTTTGAAATTTTACTTGATATGTTTTGCCTGCACATATATTTGTGCACCACATGCATGCCTGGTCCCATGGAGGCCAGAAGAACTGTCAGATCCCCTAGAACTGCAGTTACACTTGATTGTGAGCTACATGTGGCTTCTGAGAATATGAAGTCCGGTCCCGCGCAAGAGCAGCCAGGGCTCTTAACCACCAACCTACCTCTCTAGCCCCTTCTATTTGTTATTTTTATCGTTAGAAATAGTTTATGATTTAAGAAAAGAATAAAGAACCTTCCCAGAATGTAAGAAAAACAGCATTAAAATGAATGCAAAAGAAGACAAGAAGGTGATAAGTACAGGTGGATGATAATTTCTTCTGGAAAGAGAGGGCAAATGAAGCAGCCACTGAGAAGGGGCAGAGAACTACTTACTATACATTTCTGCCTATGGTGCAAAAAAAATAAAAAAGGAGGTTAATTCCTGAAGCAAAATTATTTCAAATGTGTTCATAGTAGCTACATCATGGGATCAGTCTACGTGCTCATCCATAGATGAATGGATCAAGAAATGGATCGAGCTATAAAGAAGGATGAAACATGTCATCTGCAGGAAAATAGATGGGACTAAAGATCATCACAGTAAGCAAAACCATCTGGACCAGAAAGAAAGCATAGAATGTTTCCTCTTTTTTCCTTCTTTGGATTTTGAAACAGAATTTTACTATGTACCCTTGAATGGCCTGGTACTTATCATGTAGCCCAGGCTATCTTTGGACTCACGCCAATCCCCCTGGCTCAGCCTCCCAAATGCTGAGATTTCAGGTATATGTCATCATGTTTTCTGTCATATGTGGAATCCAGAATAAATGAAAACATCTAAGTAGGATGGAGACTATCAGAGAAGAGGGAGGAAGAGTTGGGGAGGATGCTGGTGCTGGTGGACACTGTTGGAAGAACTGGTCCTTTTTTCCAGCTTTTAAAAAATTTATTATTATTATTATTATTATTATTATTATTAGTTTCTCAAGACAGGATTTCTCTGTGTAGCCCTGGCTTTCCTCCAACTCACTCTGTAGACCAGTCTGGCCTTGAACTCACAGAGATCCACCTGCCTCCGCCTCCTGAGTGCTGGGATTAAAGGTGTGTGCCACCACACCTGGCTAACAAATCTTAAAATCCCTTTACTTCAATTAAGCTAAATTTAATTCACTAAAGCCATACAAACCCCAGAAGGTCTATTAAGGACTGACCGATCATGAGCACCTTCACATGTATGATGACATGTTTTTAAATTCTTTAAAACTATTGAGGCTGGCCTGTCTGTACCATAACCCTGAAAACTTAATGATTCAGACAGTGTGTCCAATAAAATATTTTAAGATAACCATCTGGAGGGTGGGAGAAAATATTTGCAAACTTATGTCTGACAAGGACTTAGGGCTGAAATACCTAAAGAACTCACAACTCAATAAAAAAAAAAAAAAAAACAATTAAAAGTGGGTAAAACACTTAAACAGATGCTTCTCCATGAAAGGTCTAAAAAGTGACCAAAATGCTAACGAAAAATGCAGCCGTGATTGCTGATAAAGAAAGTAAATGGTAATTACAACGGGATATCACTTCACCTCCATCACACGCCTGTAAAGAAGGACAGAATGACAGACACCAGCAGGTGCTGACCCTGCGCACCACCGTGGGAGTGTGAAATAGGGCAAACAGCCACAGAGTGCGGCAATTCCTCAAAAACACAGAATACCCACACAACCCAAGGGTTCAATCCCCAAGTTTACGCCCAGGAGGACCGGACATGTCCACATAAGACTCGGGTACATGTGTTCATGGAATCATTCTTAACCTGAAAGCAGGACAAATAATTCACCAATTGATAGCAAACATTTTTTTTTTTTTAGAAATTAAGAAATTAGTAGGGTGGGCGGTGGTGGTGCATGCCTTTAATCCCAGCACTTGGGAGGCAGAGGCAGGTGGATCTCTGTGAGTTGGAGGCCAGCCTGGTCTACAGAGTGAGATGCAGGAAAGGCACAAAGCTACACAGAGAAACCCTGTCTCGAAAAACAAAAAACAAAAAACAAACAAAAAAACCCAAACAAACAAACAAACAAACAAAGAAGGAAAAAGTAAATAAATCTTAAAAAAAAAAATAATTAGCTGGGCAGTGGTGGGACACGCCTTTAATTCCAGAACTTGGAAGGCAGAGGCAGGTGGATCTCTGAGTGTGAGGCCACTCTGGTCTACAGAGTGAGTTCCAGGGCAGCTAGGGTTACATAGAGAAGCAGTGTCTCAAAAAAAAAACCAAAAATGATTTTTAACTAATTTTTAGTAGACAGAAGGTGCTGTGCAGGCTTCCAGGGAAGGTTGTCACCAACAGTCTTACTCAGCCGTAAGCTCCGTGTACCTTACAGACAGCCCTTGGTGCATTAGCAGCAAGCCTGCCACACAGACAAACAACCACTTGCAAATGAGATTTGATCCTGATCCCCAGGAAGTCTAGTCCTGGGAACATATCTGGTACTGGAAACCCGGACAAAAGCAAGCCAGTGGCCGGGGAGATCATAGGCTCTAGCGGAAGTGATGCTGCTGTTTTGCTAATGGACGTGACCGATCCATCAACACCCTCTAAGCAGGTGCTTGTGCCCACAGGGCAGCGATGTTGTCAGAGCCTGCCAGAGAAGCTTCTCTCTGCACTGGGTATCAGTGCCTGCAAAGGTGGTCTCAGTGCAGTCTAATGAGACTCATTGGATCACACACACACACACACAAAACACACACACACACAAAACACACACACACACAAAACACACACACACACACGAAAGGAAGGAAGAGAAAAAGGCAAAACAACAATAACAATAACAACAGACATAAATGGAGACTGCTATAGAAGACCACAAGGGGTTGGAAAGATAAGAGCCAGAGGAGCGGGGAGTTTGCTGTGAGATTGTGTCTCCTAGTAACGTCAGAAGCAACACCCATAAAGTCTCACCAACATGACTGCCTACACATGAGCTGAACAAGGACATGACAAGAATAGACGTGCTAATGTGTAAGAGAGAAAGCTCAGGAGAGACCTCATCCCTACACAAAGAACTCCGGGCAACTAAGGAATGCTGAGTGTGGGAGAAACAGTCTTCCTCAGGGAAGAGCACACCAACTGGTTATCCAGTACCGAAGGATCAGCCCTGAAAACATACACACAAGTAACATTATGCAGACTGAACAAGTTATGTTTTCATCTATTCCTAATGTGCGTGCAATAACAATTAATTTTAAAAAGGAATGAATTTGAAAGAGAGAAAAGGAGGGATGTATGGGAGGGTTTGAGGGAGGAAAGCGAAGGGGGAAGTGAAGTAATTATATTATTATCTAAAATGAAACAAAACGAAAACCCCAAACCCACAAACAAACCCAAGGAAATCCATCATATCAAAAAAAAAAAAAAAAAAAAAAAAGGACCTGAAGCTGGAGGTAGAAGGTCAGTTGGGAAGAAGAAAGGGATTAGGGGGTGGGGGATGAGGACAAGATGGGGAATTGAATATAATCAAAATAGATCATGCACAAGTATGAAAATGTCACAATGAAACCCATTATTGTGCATAACTAATACATGCTAATAAACATTAAAAATGAATTCAGGTGGAGCCGTCATTCCCACCTTATGTAATACCCACACAGATTAAGTAAAACCATATGAGTGTCAACCAACTTTAAAGAAATACAGCTGGGTGGTGATGGCGGCGGTGGCACTCGCCTCTACTCCTAGAAGTTGGGAGGCAGAGGCAGGCGGATCTTTGTGAGTTCAAGGTCAGCCTGGTCTATAGAGCGAGTTCCAGGACAGCCAGGGATACACAGAGAAATCCTGTCTCAAAAAAACAAAAAAGAAAAACGAAAGAAAGAAAGAAAGAAAGAAAGAAAGAAAGAAAGAAAGGAAGGAAGGAAGGAAGGAAGGAAGGAAGGAAGGAAGAAAGAAAAAGAGAGAAAGAAAGAGAGAGAGAGAGAAGAAAGAAATGCATGGCAGGGGCCTTTGCCAGGGCTGACAGCATTCTGTGAGCCCAGGAAGAACGGTGGTGGAGGATGTGCCTCTTCGCCTCTCTCCCATTTTTCTTTTTCCTTTTTTTTTTAGTTTTTTCTAGACAGAGTTTCTCTGTGTAACCCTGGCTGTCCTGGAACTCACCCTGTAGACCAGGCTGACTGGAACTCAGAGATTCTCCTGCCTCTGCCTCCCGAGTGCTGGGGTTAAAGGCGTGTGCCACCACCACCTGGCTTCCCACTTTCTTCTAATTACCCACTTTCCTTTTCTCAATTCCTCAAATTTCTTACACAGAAGACCCTCTCTTTCACCTCTATTTTCATATTCCTGGAATAAAAAGCTTTTGTCTTACCCAGAGGAGCTATGGACAACAAGGTGAGGACTCCCAGGACTGAGAGCAGGACCCTCATAGCTGAGTAGGGAGGCTATGAGAATCAGATGCCAGGATGAGAAGAGCCCGTGTTTGGCCCTGGAGTGGTGAGCTGCTGCATGGTTATTGAACCTTTCAATAGCAAGAACATTTCTGGGTTCCGATGAGGCTTTGTACCAGGAGGCAGCAATGGACATGACTGTTGTTCACTTTGAGCACATTTATCAAATGCTGGCTGGGTGTGGGCACAGATGGTAAACACAGCAGAAGGAAGGGTCAGTCCTGGAGAAGGTGGGGAGACGTGCAGCTAACAATCTGTTGCCTTAGGGTTTCTAGAGCTGTGCAAGTTAAGCTCTCACTTACCAAGGGGAACTATTCACCTCATTTCCTGGTAATGGGGAGAGAAACCCTTGATGTGATATCATGCTGATTTGTCAGTGTTTTAAGGGAATAGACACTTAGATTTGAAACTATACATAGGCTAGTGAGATGTGGGGGAAAAAACTTCGGTTATTATTTCTGAGTTAGCTGAATGAGATTAACTAACTTCTCTGCTGCAAGTCTTATTGAACACAAGTTGTTCACACTTCTCAGTTGTGAAGTAATGTAGGAAAAATTAAGTAATGTAGGAAAAATTAAGACGTTATAAAACACACAAAGGTATATAATGCAAATGGAATGGCAACATGGGCGTATTTCTGACGAAGTAGCATGACTTACCTGTTGGGCTCTGATGAGGCAAACATAGTGGATACCAGAGTAGTCTGAGGGGCCCAGGGAAGGTTTACAGGAGACAGAAGTACCCCAACTTTAGAAAGTATGCCCATATCCTTGATACTGATCTTTATAACAAAAACAAAACAAAACAAAAAAAGCCAACCTCTGTGTGTGTGTGTGTGTGTGTGTGTGTGTGTGTGTGTGTGTGTGTGTGTGTGTGTGTACAGGAATGTGCACATGAGTGTAGGTGCCTAAAGAGGCCAGAAGAGGGTGGCAGATTCCCTGGAACTGGAGTTATAGGTGATTGTGAGAAACCTGATGTGGGTGCTGGGAACTGAACTCAAGTGCTCAGCTATTGAGGTGTCTCTCCAGCCCCAAGATCTTCATTGCTTTCCAGATGGACTCATTCCACATAGGGAACTTTTCATCAATAAAATGGAAGTTCTTTTCCTGCCAAGACTTGCTAGAGTGTTCCTTCTGTTTGGCGGTTTCAGAGAATACAACATGTAGTTATTCTATACATGCAGGTTAGTCCTGAATATTGAGACTTTGGAGATGCCATTGTCAGGATGATGGATTAACCAGGGTACGTGACTAGAGGTCCTGAGAGAGTGCACACATTCTAGACCAAGGGAATAAATGAGGGGAAGGAACTCTCTAGGGGTGTCCGTCTCTAAGCCGAGGTTCAGGTCCTTCCTCCTTGTGAGTTGCTGAAACAGAGGCACGTGGGCCCCCACTTCTCCAGCATTCTAGAAAGTCCTTGCAGATGCTACTTGTTGATAACTCTTGCATTCACTCAGGGGAGTCCGGCTTGAGTTTTTACCATCTTTGATCATGAGTCCAGAATATGCTGAGTTTTGTCTCATATCTTCAAACTGTTGGCTTCTTGAAGCACAGTTTATGTGGTAAAGTGATATAAATTTATAAGAAGAAATAGAAGTTCTTTATGGAACATTGAAAGCAGAATTTTTAGTGACTTTCTGACATTTTCAATCAATGTGTTTCCTTGTGTGGTAGATTTGAAACGAGATGGTGCTGCCTGGAAGCCCAGGAACACTGTGTGATGCCCAGCTGCCAACTGCCATCATAGACATCAAAGGACCAAATCCATTCTGCTCAGGCTCTAGGCTGGTGAACACCGGGGCACTGCCAGATCACCCGGGGCCTCTGTGGGGACAGGCCTCTGTGCTTTGACAATGGCTCTCCTCAAAGGTCAGAGGGCCATCAACCATCAAGCACAAGCTGTTACAGAGGAAGAAGAGAGACGATGACTTACTATCAGATAGGAAACTTGGCCCAGGAATCACGGGTTTTATTGAGTAGAGCTTGTCAGAAAGCCACTAGTTAGGAGTTCCACAAGAAGACCAAGCTATACAACTGTCACATATGTGCAGAGGGCCTAGGTCAGTCCCATGCAGCCTCCTTGGTTAGTAGTTCAGTCTCTGTGAACTCCTATGAGCCCAAGTTAGTTGATCCTGTGGGTTTTCTTGTGATGTCTTTGACCTCTCTGGCTCCTACAATCCTTCCTCCCTCTCTTCGGCAGGATCCCCTGAGCTCAGCCTAATGTTTGGCTGTGGGTCTGCATCGGTTACTCTGTGATGACAATTGGGCTAGGCTGTAATCTATGAGTAAAGCAGAATATTGTTAGGCATCATTACATTGACTGTTTTTTTTCTCCAGTCGTGTTTGGTTCTATTCTAAGTCTCTGGGCCATCTAGCCTCTGGGTCCTGGCACTCCAGGCAGTGTGAGGAGTGAATGCACTCTCGTGGCATGGGTCACAGGCTGGACTAGTCATTGGTTGGCCACTTCCACAATCTCTGTGCCACCCTTACCCCAGCACATCCTACAGGCAGGACAGACTGTAGGTTGTAGGTTATGTGGCTGGTTGGTGTCCCAACCCCTCCACTGGAAGACTTGTCTCGTCACAGTAGATGGATAGTTCAGGCTACATATTCCCTATTGCTAAGATTCTTATCTAGGATCATCCTTGTAGAATCCTGGGAGTTTCCCTTATACAAGGTTTCTACCTCACCCCAAAAAAGTGCCCCCTTTCCAGTCATCTCAGTACTTTCCCCCTTTACACCCCCCCCACCTATCCCTCATAACATTCATTTCTTACCCCACAGGCTTCTACATCTTTCCTTACCTTCGTATTAAATTACTAATAATTCCTATGTGGATAAACAGACATACACGTGTGAACTTTTGCCTCTATACTGTTTATTTTAATTTATTTTGAGACACGGTCTCTCACTATGTAGCCTTGGCTGGCCTGGAACTCAAAGATGTAGGCAGAAGTTTCTGTTCCACCAACTCCCAAATACCCAGCAGATACCTCCCAAATTACCACACAGAATCTTATATTAAGTAAAACTACTTGGCCATTAGCTCAGGCTTATTACTAACTAGCTCTTACACTTAAATTAACCCATAATTCTTAACTATGTTTAGACACGTGGCTTGGTACCTTTTCTCGGTTCGACATTCTCATCTTGCTTCCTCTGGATCTGCCTGGTGACTCCTGACTCCACCCTTCCTCTTCCCAGCATTCTTAGTTTGCTCATCCCACCTGTACTTCCTGCCTGGCTTCTGGCCAATCAGCATTTTATTAAATCAATTTCAGTGACAAATCCTTAGAGTGTACAAGAGCATTATCTCACAGCATTTCCCCTTTTTCGTTTAATTAAAAAGGAAGATTTTAACCTAAATATAGTAAAACAAAAACAGTTATCAAGAATCATACTAACAATATCCAATCCATTTGCATTTGACAAAATTAGAGAAAATATTTAATTATCTATCTTATCCTGGTAAGTCTAAAGTTTTGTATCTAATTATCTTTTATTATAACTAAAGAAAACTATAACTATCTAGTCTTCAACTCCATCAAAGACTCCAGAAAGATGTAATGTTACCTAATGATAGAGACATCAGGCTGCCTAGACAGTCCATCCAAAGTTCCTCTGCAATGTTGGGGCATCCATCTTTGGCCTACAGGCCTAGCATATCTGTGTTTGTGATTATAGACTTATCTGTGAAGCAGGATTTTTGAAGGATTGTCCCACCTTGTTTCGGCAAAATTCTGCAGTCACTTTCTTTTGTGTCCTTCCTGCTTGTCCAATTTGTACAGCATACTGTCAGCAGTTGAGGCAAGGGTACTTTCTTTGCCCACATGGCTAGCTTTTGCCATAAAGAAAACAAACTCCATATGGAGTTTCTTCGATGCCCATCATCTTCTTTGAAGTAATTGGTGCTGCCAGGAGCAGACATGTCTCACTGTTGAGAAAAGTATAAGCTCTTAAAACATTTTAAATGCCATATTCTATAGGTCTTTGAAGTGTTTGAAGATTGCCTATGTATCTGAAATATATTTCTGTATGGCCTTGAAAACATGCCTAACATGACCATAAGTTTGTGATTATAGATAACTATTACTCCCTATTTCTTAATTTTATATTACATTTTTAAATGAGCTGCATAAACTTAATACCCTAAACAAGAGTAGAAATATACATACTGTATAACAAAATTAACTTTAAATTTGTATCAATAAACTAAAATCCATACTGATGTAAAATATGTAAGATTAATAGTTGTTTTTTGAATTAAAGTATATTAAATAATCTATCTTTTTTCCCATCATTTCTATATCATATCCCCCTTTCTTCTTTTAGAAAGAGAGATTGACTATGACCAATAACAATTTGTAACCAACCCCCTAAACAAAGACAAACATCCATAATCCATTTTTCAGGAATGTGGGCATCATTTTCTAGGCTACTTCCTGCTTATTGGGGGCACTGTTAATCTTATGGGCACCCTGAGAAAATTTAGGATTATGGTCAAGTCCTGACTGTAGTAGTCTGTGAGGCTGGATCATCTCAGCCAGCAGCCTTGAAACCTTTCTGGATGCAGAACTCAGAGGAAACTGCAACAGAGGTGCTCTGAAACACTGGAGTTTTTTTAGGGGGTCTTCCCCAATCAAATCTGATTTTTTTTAACACAGAATGAATCCACAGCCTCTCATTTCCCATGGAAATAAAAGCATAAACTCTTCTCCAAAGTAACATATCTTTTGACTTAAATTTTGAAGTTAAGGCATTTTCAAAATATATAGGTTGGATTAATCCAGTAACATTTATAATCCAATGTCTTGTAGCAGCTGTTGCTCCTTCCTCAGCTGTCAAACAATTCAACAACACGATAACATACAGTATCCAGACTCTCTGTGTATTTTACATCTTTACATGGCTTTTTTTCTTTTACTTTATTCCCTGTTAAGGACTTTATATATATTTCTTTTTTTTTATGACTGTCTATAC